CTTCACGGGGTCACCATCAATGCTCCCACTAAGCTGTGGATTCTTGTGAGCAAAACTTCTACTTTGTGAGCCTGGTGGCATTAAAGTTGTGAGCGAGCGATTGGGCTACTGCTTAAATTAGTTTGCTCTGGAGCCGTCCTTCCCGCCTTCCTGAGTGAGGGCAAAAATGTGTGAGCCGGAGGCTAAAAAACTGTGAGCTAGCTCACACTAAGCTTCGAGGGAACACTGGTCACCATAAGTCAGTTGTCACTCAACGGCGTGCTTTAAGTTTTAATATTGGCTGGTGGACGGGAACCGGGGCTTTTGCTGGGGAAGTATCGCCTGAAGCCAGGAACGAAACTAGTCTGGGGCCCAACTTTGGCCTAGGGTTGCCGGGGTCTGGGTTGGAAAATACCTAAAGACTTTGGGGGTGAAGCCAAGAGAGGGTGGGGTTTGGGGAGGGGAGGGACCTCAGCATGGTACAGTGCCATAGGCTTCAAAGCAGCCATTTTCTCCAGGGGAGCTGATCTCTGTCAGCTGGAGATCAGTTGTAAAAGTGGGAGATCCCCAGGCCCCACCTAGAGGCTAGCAACCCTAGACCTCAATAGGGGCCCCCAATCCGGCCCTGACTATCAGCCTGAAGCTAGCAAGCCACTCAGGAATTGCGCAGGGCCTCCGGAGTCAGGTTGGCACAAGCCGCTTTGCATCTGGACTCAGGAGAAAGCCCCTGGAGGGGTTTCAGAGTACATAGAGCAAGACCTGTTTGTAGAGGCATCTGGCGCTCTCCCCTGGCAGGCAGTTCCCACACGCTGAAGACACACACCCCTTGCCATCCACGCCACCCTCACACGATGGGAGAAGACGTATTCTTCCTTGTTTATATCTCTCGTGGCAAGAACAAGCAAGAACAAGCACCGAATTGGTGATTGGCGAAGAGGCCAAACTTTATGCACCTCGGCGGAGACCTCCGATCATTCTCTCTGCTCCGCCACGCCTTCCTTTTGACTCCCAAGCACGCGAGTTCCCGCTATCCATTCCGAGTTGATGGGAAGAACCTTCCAGAAGAGCAACATTTTCTTCTCAGCCCTTCCTCCCAATGACAGATTGATCTCTCCGCCCGGGGGCCCCAGAACTGACTATGCCGAACAGCTAGATGTCAGGCTGGCTCTGGAAGCCAGGCCCGCCGTTCTGCTCTTCCATCCAAGTGATCTCAGCCCTCACCCTGATCTTCCCTGCAAATGCCACAAGGGAAAACCTCGAACGACAACTCAGTCCATTACGAAGGGGAGGGAAAAGTCGCCGCGATTCACGGCCTTCTCCCAGGACTGGAGCCTGCAGGTTCTGGACAGGCGTAACCAGGAAAGAAGGGTGAAGTGTTTGCCTCAAGAGGCAGATTTTGGGGTACCATTACAAAAAGTTATTTTACATTTTTTGTCTCCAGGAAAGGATTAGGGATGCCAGCCTCCAGGTGTAGGGCTGCCAAATGCCCCCGGGGGGCGGAATTCCCCCCGCTTTCGAGCCCCGATTTCCACTCCGGCGGAATCGGGGCCCGGGGGAAACCCCACCCCCGCGTGCGCGTCACCCGGAAGTGACATCGCACGCTGGGGGCGGGGCCACACCATTTGAGGGGAAAACAAAGAGTTCCCCCCTCAAATGGCGTGGCCCCGCCCCCAGCGTGCGACGTCACTTCCGGGTGATGCGCGCGCGCACGCCCAGGACGCCGGCCGGGAGCCCCCTGCTCCCGGCCAAAAAGAATCTGGCAACCCTACAGGGCAGTGCTGTGGAACTTTTTTTAAATGCATGTCCCAATTGAGCTGGTAGCAGCTGCCTTAAGTTTACTTTGCCTGTCTTGGCTTCCTTGGCCTGGCCTGAGCTGGGCAGGGGTCAGTTGCAGCAGCATTTTGAGGGATACTTTGCTGTGTTTCTATGGGATATTGCGAAAGCACCACCAGTGCCCTTGCTGAAGATGATGTGATGTCATCATATCTGGCTGATACTCTGTGCTGGCTCCCCAGTCTCTATGATCTTTACCACAGAGACTAGGGGAAATTCCTCGAGTGTCACTGTGTGGATGCTATTTTTTTTCCTCCTCAGTTCCTCAGGGGCTGAGGGTTGGTAATTCTGAACCCTGGACAGATTAATGGGAGGCCTATTTCTGCCAGTATCAGTAAACAGAGAGGGAAGCACATTCATGATCATAATGGAACAGAAATTCCTGTGTTGAAACGAAAATTTGGGATGTAAATTATTTCAAGAACAGTGTTCACACTCCTAACAATGCTAAAGAAAAAAAGAAAAAGAGAGATCCCCCCCCCCAAGTTTTACTGGACTTTCAAGAAGGAGAGATTATGATATTTGGAGACATGAATGGGGTCTAGATTTTAAAAAGACAGATCTAAAAGAACCAAAGGAGGAAAACTTCCCAATAATGTCTTTAAATATATGGAACTGTTATAGCTAAAAGATGCATGTGGGGTAGAATGCCACAACATTCAGCTTCCAAAGTGGCCAGGGTCTCCAGGGGAATTGATCTCTGTCACCTGGAGATCAGTACTAACCCCAGGAGCTCTCCAGCTGCTTCCTGGAGGTTGGCAGCCCTATAGGGTTACCAGGTCCCTACCATTTGCCGGCAGGGAGGAGACGCTTCTCTCCCGGGATCTTCTAGTGCATGAGCTCCACGTGGTGGTGACATCACCCGGAAGTGATGTCATTGTGCTAGGCACGTTGCCGGGAGGACGCTCTAGCATTCAGCTAGAAACTCTACGATACCATTGGCCACATTGGCCTGATCCAGGCGCTTTGGGGCTGGGGTTCCGCTGGCCGGATCTGGGCCAGTGGATAGGGGCTCCTAAAACGGGCAAACCCCTGCCCCCCGGGGGATCTGGCAACCCTATAACCTTAGGTGGGACCTGGCTATTCTAGAGAGGGCTGCCTATGGATGCTGTGGGCTCCAAAATAGCACAGGCCCCCTCTTTGTGACAGAGCAGGCCTTGAACCCGTGGCCTTGGCTGTAATGAGCAGAAGGTTACACACCACACCACCTCTAGCTAGAAAAACAGAGCTGCCGAAAAACAAGACGAGCCTGTGGGCTCCGTCCCCACACCAGGGAGGCAGGGGCAGGGCGTGTGACAAGCCCCGCCCTCTAAACTACCAGGTTGGGTCATGTTCTTAGGGCCGCATGTTTTCCTGCTCACAGCCTGTGCAGCGTTGTGGCTAAGAAGCTGAGGGACAAAACAGGGCCAGCCCTGTAATGAGGCGAGGTGTGGCCCCTCCTCTGCCAGGGCTTCACCCTTGGAGTGGTGTGAATCTGTGCAACCTCTGAGAGCCAGTTTTCAGTGGTGAAGAGCAGCGGAGTCTAATCTGGAGAACCGGGTTCGATTCCCCATTCCTCCACATGAAGCCAGCTGGGTGACCTTGGGGCCACTAGCATAACGCTCAGAGCTAGAACTTGTAGCTGCCAGACAATTTTAGGATCCCCTGGCTATTCTACACACAATACCATATGATGATGATGATGATGATGATGATGATGATGATGATGATGATGATGATAATAATAATAATAATAATAATAATAATAATGTGTACCCTCTCCTTCGACGTTTGCAGAGTGTATGGTGCAAGCGGTCGCTCCAGTCATTGGGGAAAATGCCCTTCGAGCTAAAGAGCATGAGGTGAATCAACTGCACAACACGCTTTTTCTGAGCACACAATGTCACGGTGCAGAGACGGCAGTGGGCAGGGCCGGCCCCAAGTTTTTTGCACACTAGGTGAGGATACCTT